TAAAGTCTGATTTGTTGACAACCTCGGCCCTGGCTCGCTCTACACTTCGCTCCATTTGAAATTTAAGCATCAACGATGCAAAAACAATGTAATTCACAATCAGAATTTTTTTTCATTGTTCTAATGTCATTTATCTCAGCCCAGACAGTGTAGCCAACCCCAAAATCAACTTTTGATCAACTGAACAGTTTATTTTGGATTCTGGCTTTATGTTTCTGTGAAAATTTAGACACTTTCGTGAAAATGTGTTTAGTTCTTGAATATTTTGCCCTTGTGTGTCTCAGTGCTGCCCTCTTTAGGTTGAACAGTGCCTAGCAGTTGAATTGTCTTGTACATTTTTTGCCACTCAGTCCCGGGTTCAGGTATAAAAGCATCAGAGCAGCAGCGCAGCAAGTACTGATTGATAGCAGAGCAGCTCACTGCAGTTTAACAGCAGAACGACTTCCTGCAGCTCAGCCATTTTACATGATGTCACATGTTCACGCAGTCACACGCCTCAACTCCAAAAACTGAACGTGGGTCAATGAATTCTTGGATTTAAAACTCCAGATCAGTGCTGGAAACCATTCTCAGATCGTTGATGCTTTTCTTTATCATTTTTGTGTTTTGTAATGTTCAAATCACTACATTGTTGCTTCAGTGATGAATAACTTTAAAATGATGCTTTTTATTTTTGTTTTGTCTACAAGAGTAAAAAACTGGTTGGTTCACTTTGTTCTGCAGATCTTGACTGAGCAGCAGCAAGGTGCGACCAAACCACAGCGAGTCCCTCTGTCTCTCCTATTGTCCTTTTCGGACCCGACGCTCTGAAAAATGTGAAATGGAGGCAGACAGAACTGATCACTGGGGCCAGACTGTGCAGTGATTTGAGTTTCTCTGTGTTTATTTTTGGTTCTGATTCTGTGAGTCTGTGTGCCGTCCTTTCTTGATGGCGTCTCTTGTTCCGTGATTACCCCCGGTGTATTTAATGTCACCTGTTGTCTGTCTCTGGTCGTACATCTTTGTCGCCCACAGTGTTCAGTCTGTCAAACCCGCTGTTCGCTCTGAACCGCCAGGCAGGAGGAGAAAGGCTTTGTGCCAATTATTTTAAAGATCTTGGTCCCCCCAAAATCAACAACAACCTGGACATTATCATTAATCAATAAAATGCTCCCAGGCCAAAGTTGAAAACTTGTGCTTTGACGTTATGCTGCTAACACTTAGCTTTCCTCAACAACTCAGAGGAGGAAGTCAGAGCTCTGCGCAACAAAAGTAATAACCCGGCCGGAACACGGTGCGCTAAATAATAAAATATAAATTAACGAACCTTCGAGGCAGGTAAATTTTCCTTGAGGAATTTTAATAATCCAGGTACTCGAATCGTTTCAGCCCTACTTTTATCTAAGGTCAGTGGGCGGGGCCACTTCAACTCAACCAATCAGAGAGTTTTCTGCCTACTTTTATCTAAGATGTTTTACACGTTATTAGGTGCAATAACAATGTATTGTTGTTAAATTAATATGATTTTTTTTCAGGAGCCTGAGCATTGAAGTATCTCCAACACCCAGAGACAGAAGCAAAACGAGTGAGAGCAACATGTCTGGAGTCCTTAGAGCCACACAGCAGATCAACAAGGTTCTTCCACTGCAGCAGGAGGAGGAAATGATGTCATTGGATGAGCTGTAGGGCAGTGGGCGGGGCCACTTCACCTCGACCAATCAGAGAGTTTTCTGCTTCCTCAGGAGCTCTGTCTCTGATCTTTACTGCTTCATGTCTCTGTTGTCTTCAGTTCAAAGACTCAACAACCAGAGGATTAACAGGGAGTGAGGCCCTCTAGTGGCTGCTGTGGAGTACTGCAGGTTTTAGTGTTTTAACAGGGAGTGAGGCCCTCTAGTGGCTGCTGTGGAGTACTGCAGGTTTTTGTACAGGGTTCTGGTGTTTCCTGTCACTGTGGGCCTCACAGCGCAGTAGTACACAGCAGAGTCTGTCACTGCAGCAGAGGAGATCAGCAGATCCATCCGGGTTTTATCTTCACTCACGCTGAAGGAGAAACCAGGAACCGGATTCAGGAGTTTTGCTCCATTTCCGGTGTGTGAGATCAGGAACTCTGGAGGTTTTCCAGGATATTGATGATACCAGAAGAAGTAATCAGTTCCAACTGCTGGTTTGGAGTAATTGTAGGACAGAGTAACTTTGCTGCTTTCTGGTCTGGATTCTGCATGTTTGACTGGATTCAGTTCTTCACAGGTGACTGCTGAATGAAAAGGGAGAAACATTAAAGTTCTGTGATTAATTCTTCATATTGAGGCCGTTATGAAAAGTAGATAATCAGGCTTTAATAAAAAAAATCCAATCGGACCTGTTAGCAGGGAGGCGACCAGCAGAGACAGACCATAATAGTCCATGTTGAGCAGAGTTAATGTTGGAGAGTTGAACTGAACTGAAGGAGGAAGTTTGAGTCTCTTAGAGATCAGGAACAGATCAGCTCCTCCTCTTCCTCCTCTTCCTCCTCTTCCTCACAGCTTCAGCTGCTTTCTTTGTTTCTTTTAAACAGTGAATAATTTAAGAAATATTAAACTCATGAAGTTTTTCATTGTCTGAAACTTGGTGATTTCTGTAAGGTTGATGCAGAATATTTTTACTCAGAGGTGAAGTCTTGCTGATAACTGGACTGATTATCTTGTGCCCAGAGGAAGATGATGCTTGGTTCAGATCCAACAACGGCCAGAACATTTTAAAACGGGTCGGCCATCAGTCCTCGGTGTCCTGCTGATCCTGCTGCGCTCTGACAGAGAAACCATCCGTTACATTAAAGATTCTCCAAATTGAAGTGATTTATATTTTTTTATTAAATATCACCAAATCTTTATCTTGTTCTTCTTCTGCTTAATCGTTCTCTAGTCAGTTTGTAGATAAATCTTATCAAATATTTGACTAAACTGCAGTTCATTTCTAGATGAATTAAGTCAAAAGTTACTAAATATTTCCTCAGTAAATGTCTGAGATCGCTTCAGTTCTCCAGACAACATGAACTTCCTGTTTGACCCCTGACCTCTGCTGCTGCTGTCCATGGTGCTGGACACCCAGCTTATCAGCCACTAAAACTAAATATTTAAATATGATGCAGTGGAAAATTCACATAATAAACCCATATTGCTTTATTTAGCTGTTAATTAACCCATGGTTTTTGGCTTTTAAATGTTATAGTTTACCTAAAACCAACCAGTATAACCAGTATAGAAGTGACTTAGGTTTTAGTCAGAATATTTAATAAATCATCAGTCGGTTCCAACTGTTACGCCTCATGATGATCAATTATTAATATTTGGTTTAAAAGCAGAGAGGCAGTTCTCATGGCCTCCAGCTGCATATCTGCTCACACACCTGGGTCAAGTGAAGCGTTCGTTACCGGCCTGTTGCAGAGCTGAATGAACGCTGCTGAGGGAATTCAGACGTTTTGGAGCCGAGATGCATCTAGAAGCTGTAGGATGGACTGGAGGCCTCTGCTCTACAGAGTAAAGCTGGATGAACATCAGGAAACGTTTCTGTACATAATCAGTTATAATGTTCATTTAATGCCATCAGTATGGACACACACACACACACACACACACACACACACACACACATTTCAGAAGTTTCTGTTCATTTTATATTCATCCCACTATGAGTCTCTGCAGATTATAATGCATTAACAACTGTTCAACAAAACTCCACTGCTGAAGACCAAGACATGTCTGGGCTGTAATTTCTCCTCTTTAAATAAAGTTCATGTTATTTAATCTGAGTTTATTTACTGAGCCAGTCAGAGATATTTGGTCAAACATTTTCACAATCTGCTACTTAAAGCAACAAAATCTCACAGATCTGAACCTTCAACTGTTAAACATTAACAGCAAAGAATTTTATCGTAGCATTTTTATTTTTATTGTTTTTGTTTTCATCCTGTCCTGTTTCCATGATCTAAAGCAGATAATGGTGATGGTTGAGACGAAACTCAGTCACAATGTCTCATCTCTTTGTTTTCAGTTCAAATACTCAACCAGTGATTAACAGGGAGTGAGGCCCTCTAGTGGCCGCTGTGGAGTACTGCAGGTTTTTGCACAGGGTTCTGGTGTTTCCTGTCACTGTGGGCCTCACAGCGCAGTAGTACACAGCAGAGTCTGTCACTGCAGCAGAGGAGATCAGCAGATCCATCCGGGTTTTATCTTCACTCACGTTGAAGGAGAAACCATGAAGCAGCGCTGACATTGGAGCTCCATTTCCTGTGTGGGAGATCAGGAACTCTGGAGGTTTTCCAGGATATTGTCGATACCAGAAGAAATAATCAGTTCCAACTGCTGGTTTGGAGTAACTGTAGGACAGAGTAACGTTGCTGTTTTCTACAGCAAACTCTTCATTCTGAAGCGCAGTGAGTTGTTGGCATCTGACTCCTAGAAGAGAAATCAGTTAGTTTTAGTTTCTGGAAATTAATGTACATTTATTAAACTTCAACATTTTTAAAAACAGAGGAATGCTGACCTGTTAGCAGAGAGGCGATGAGCAGAGACAGCATGTTGAGCAGAGTGAATGTTGGAGAGTTGAACTGAAATGAGGAGGTTTGAGTCTCTTTAGAGTTCAGGGACAGATCAGCTCCTCCCTTCAGCTCTCAGCTCCTCCTCAGCTTTCCTCTGAATGATAACCTGCTGCAAAGAAGCAGCAGGTTATCATCCATCAGTGATCCACTGTCAGGATTACAGGAGAGGCTCTACCTCATCTGGTAACTAAAAAATTAAATACATGCTAACATCATCATTTTGCCCTCATCAATGATGAGGAAAACTTTTCCATAAATGTGTTTTTATTATTGGTAATATCAAAAGTTTTATGACCAGGATCACTGATTTTACATCTTACCTGTTAAAATACATGGAAAAGTTCATGCGAGGCGGTGCAGTGCTATGCCTCACCTCTGGGGGCGCTGTGTCACACAAAGTGAGTGAACAAACATCACATACATCAGGGGTCCCCAAAGTGGGTCCTGGTTCCCGGCATCCTGCATGGTTCAGTCTCCCCCTGGTTTAACACACCTGGATCCAATGATGGATCATTAGAGGCTGTTGAAGAAGATTGTAGGTTATAATATATCTTAAGAAACTCTCTAGCTCGATCTTCTTCTCACGAATCCCAGGTTCTCCCGGCGGGCCGCGTGTAGCTACACAGAAAACAACAATGAGTGCAGATGTCACAGAGTTACAGAGTT